GTTGGTCCATGAGCTGTGGTTTACTTATATTTCACCAAATAATCATCACACCCTGTTCTGAATTATGGTACAATTTTTAAAAAGTCTTCATATAATGATCAGATCCTACTTATTTACAAAAATAAAAGTAATAAAATCTGTGATAATTATGTAGTGAAACATGGCAACTCCTGGTCTAATTTTTGTAGGGTAGTTTTCTTGAGATATGTACAATATACCATCCATTTGATTTTTTTCAGGGGAAGTTTTTTGGGGGGGGATTTTGAGGTCATACCTGGAGTTGCTTGGAGGCTACTCTTGGTACACTGCTCTGGAGACAATGAGATGCCAGGGACCAAACCTAGGTCTCCCATGTGGAAAGCATAAGCACTAGCCCTTTGAGCTACCTCCCTGGTCCTCAGCTTGATGGTTTTTAATATGTTCTTAGAACTTTTTAACCATCATCACCATGTACACTTCAGCATCCTAAAAGAATCCCTGTCTCCAACCTGTTCAGTCATTGCCTGTTCCTGCTAACTCTTTCTTTCCCACCCGGGACCTCAGTCCGAGGTAACCATTAATCTACTTTCTGTTTCTATTATTTTGCACATTTTTTTTTCTTTTTGGGTCACATGCAGAGATGCACAGGGATTGCTCCTGGCTCTGCATTCAGGAATTACTCCTGGCGGTGCTTGAGGCACCATATGGGATGCTGGGGATTGAACCTGGGTTGGCTACGTGCAAGGCAAACGCCCTACCCGCTGTGCTATTGCTCCAGCCCCTATTTTGCATATTTTTATAGAAGTGATATCATACAATATATGTAGTCCTTTATTGGGGAGTGTGGGAGAGGGAGATTTTCTGTTTTTCTTGTTTTTGGGCCACACCAGGTATTGCATTCAAGAATCACTCCTGGTGGTGTTCAGGGACCATATGGGATGCTGTGGATTGAACCGTGGTCAGCCACATGCAAGGCAACCACCCTACCCACTGTACTATATCTCGGCCCCTATGTGTCTTTTACTAAGCAAAATGTTTCAAAGTTCATCCTCTTTATTACATATATCAATACTTTATTTCCATTGACAATATTATAATACATGGCTATACTTTTTTTGGCCTATTTACAGTGGATGAACACACTAAAAGTTTCTATTTTTTGACTATTATGAATAATGCTGAATAATTCATCTAGAAGTTTTGGTATGGACATAAGTTTTATTTTATTTTTTGTTTTGGAGAGCCACATGTGGCACTGCTTAGGGCTTACTCTGCACTCAGGAATCACTCCTGGTGGGGCATAGGGAACAATTTGGGGTGCTGAGGATTGAATTTAGGTTGGCCCCATGCAAGAAAAGCATTCTGCCTGCTGAATTATCTCTTCAGCCCCTGGCCATAGGTTTTAATTTCTGTTAGGTATGCAACCAGGAGTGGAGCTGCCAAACCATATGCTAACACTATGTCTTAACTTTTCGAGGAACAGCAAGACTGTTTTCCAAAGAGGCTGTAAAATTTGTGTTCCCACCAACAGTGTAATAAGAGGGTTAGAATTTCTCTACATTTTTGACAATAACCTGTAATTGCAGGTCTTCATTGATGACTGGCAACTTAGTGGGTGTGAAGTGGAATCTCATTGTAGGTTTGATTTGTATATTCCATTCTATTTCTTTTAAAAACACTTTTTAAAAATAAACCACTGTGAGATACATGGTTACAAAGTTGTTCACGATTGGGTGTCGATCATACAATTGTTCTAACACCCTTTTCTTTACCAATGTGCATTTCCCACCAGCCATGTCCCCAGTAGCCCTCCTTTTTGATGGCTAATAAGATTAGACTCAAAGGATGGATCCCTGGGGAAGGGGTGCAAGGCTGCCCACTTGTGGCACAGGATGGGGTAGGGGTCCCCTACAAGGCTACCCCAACCACCCTAGCTCAGAAAGACTGCTCATTGCAGCAAAATAAAACCCAGTGCGTGGATTTTTTAAAAGGCAGTTTTGATGTAAATGTGTTATTTTTTTCCAACTGAATTCCAATATGAGGGCAGTGACTAGATAGAATAAATACGAACCACCGCCGCCACCACACACACACACACACACACACACACACACACACACACACCCGACATACACTAAACACATTCTGAAATTCCAAGAATTCCTAGATTACAAACATGCCTTCCTCCTTCATGATCATCCAGGAAGCACGACCCTGACCTTTATAGCACTTACCTCTCTGCCAGAGACTACATGGCTGTCTGGCTCTTCCCCACATCTTTAGTGCTTGACCTGTGATATTGCTCAAGACACAGTAAATATTATACTTAGATTCAACACAGTACTAAGTGTGGAGTGTAACCTTTGAAAGCCAAGGCCATAGGCTGAAGAGAAAGTGAATTGGCAGGCTATATTTTCTCTAAGCAAAATGGTTGTATCTTTAGACAAGATTTTGAGTATCTGGACAGGCCTTAGTGGTGCGGAAAGTAACGAAAAATGTGTGAGCCTGCTCATTTGTTTGAGGCTGCTGTTGATTCCCCAGCTGTATTTACACTTCTAAATGAATAAACACGCCAGTGGGACCGGCCCAAATGTTTATTTCTTTTGAAAAATTAACTTCCAAACCAGAAGCACTTGTCTCACAGTCTGTTTTAAGAGGGCAGAACCACACAATTCTTCAAATACTTTCGCTCTCACTACTAGAAACCTTGGAATAGGACCAAGTCACTGGCCTCTTAGTTGTTAGCTTCTGTTTAGAAGTTGTTTGCCAGCTCTATTTTGTTTCAATTTGAGAAGGGGCCAGAGAAACAGCTTAATGGATTGAGTGCATGCTTTGTCTTGGTTCCATCCCCAGTATTGCACAGTCTCCAAAACACCAAAGGGAGTGACCCTCACCCCTACCCCAGACCACAGACAGAAGTAGCCCCTGATTACGGCTGGGTATGGGCTCCCTCTCCCAAAATATTAATCTGAAAAATAAGGATAGTAAAAGAGTTAGAGAGTTTGATAAACTGGTCATAAGATTGGCTTGTGTTTTTAAAAATCTTGTTCTACACTAGATTAACAAAAATCAATGCTGTGACTGGAAAGAAAATACAGGGGTTGAGGCACGTGCCTCGTTTATAGCCAACCCCAGTTTATTTGATCCTGGCACCACAGATGCTACCCTGAACATTGTCAATTGCAGCCCTGGAAGCCCCTGAGCACTGGCCAGTGGGGTGGCCCAGACAATCCCCAGCACTACATGGCCTGAGGAGCACCAAGTCTTTGGACCCTCACATTGAACCACTGAGCAGCTTGGCTGAGAATCAGTGGGAGGGCTCCCTGCAGACCTCTGGAGCACTGACTCAGGAGATCCCCATAAAATCGTCAGAATATTTTTTGGGGGGTGTGTTCTGGGCTATATCCATTGATATTTGGGAGTTACTCCTAGCTCTGCGCTCAGGAATTACCTCTGGCAGACTTGGAGGACCATATGGGATGCTGAAGATAGAACACAGGTCAGCTACGTGCAAGGCAAGCACCCTATTTGCTGTACTATCACTCCACCCCCACACAAATATATATTTCTGCAGTTGGAGAAAAAAAAGAAGGCACTGTTCTTTGTGATACATTTTTGTGGGGCGTTTTGTGCTTTTTTGGGGGGCATACCGAGTAATGCTCAGGGATTACTCCTAAGCTCTTCACTTAGAAATCACTTCTAGTGTACTTGGGGGATCATATAGGGTGCTGAGAATCAAACCTGGGTGAGCAGGGTACAAGGCAAACACCCTACCCATGGTAGTATCTCTCTGGCCCATCGTTAACACTTTAATGATTTAAAAATAAAGGTAAAGGCCCTCCCATTGATCGTCGATTTGCTCGAGCGGGCCCAGTAACATCTTCATTGGAGACTTTGTTGTTACTGTGTCTGGCATATCAAATAAGGGTATTAAAAATCAACTAGAAAACAAGAAACCCTGGAGAATAGAAAAGTATAGTCAAAGGATGTCTTATAGTTTAGAGGACTTTTTGTTATGCCATAAGCAAATGTATACCTAACAGATACAATGGTAATAACATTTTTTCCACCCCATTTTCATCCCTATTCAGGCTACTCCCATACTTTCAGCACAGAATCATCCATGTGAAGAATAATCCTGTTTTCTAAGCTGTTTTTTTCTTTTTCTTTTCTTTTTGGGTCACACCCGGCGATGCACAGGAGTTACTCCTGGTTCATGCACTCAGGAATTACTCCTGGCGGTGCTCAGGGGACCATATGGGATACTAGGAATTGAACCTGGGTCGGCCGCGTGCAAGGCAAACGCCCTACCCTCTGTGCTATTGCTCCAGCCCCTCTGAGCTGGATTTTAGTCTCATCTCACCAATGGAGAAATAACATTCTTGATCAATCTTTTAGATTTTAAAATATCTCAGACAACATATAGTAGAAAATCCTACAGTTTCTAAAGTTTTCTTCCTTAAAATATTTATTTTGTTTTTCTTGTTTTGTTTTGGGAATACACCTAAAAGTGTAGTGGTGGGGAGTTGGGGTGCGCTACTTCCATTTCCTTGCTCACTGGTTGCTCCTGGCAGTGCTCAGATGACCTTGTGGAATCAGGTATAGAAACTCAGACCACCAGCATGCGCTTCGAGCTGTCTCTCTACCCCTCCTTTAAGTTGTTGTTTATTTGAGCTCCCCCAAGCTCAGGAGTCCTGGGGGCCTCTTCCTGCAACTCCTACACTGGGAAAATAGCACCACAGCTCTTTCCAGCTGCTTCTTTTAAAATTTAACAAAAAAGAAGCTTAAAATAATATTTCATAGTGTCAAGGGCACCCTTCCCTTTCAGGGGGCATGACTTATATTCCTGGTTCTTGAGGGCTTCCAGGATACTTAGGTTGTCAGGATAAAACCCTGCTTTCAGAACATATAATTAAAATATATAGCTTATTACTTGAACTCACTTATCACACTTGCCTATTAGATCATCTCCATAACTGACATATAAAAGGACATATTTTAGTGTAAGATGAAGATCTTACCTGCAGCAAGGGCATCAACTGCAAACCCAGTGCTTGCTCATAGAGCAGATTCAGTTCTGCACAACTGGAGAAGGAGAGTTTGGAGGTGTAGAGGTAATAGTGCACGTGTCTAAATGTAGAACCATCTCTATCGATGAATAATCGCTGGTTTTCTGAAGAAGTCAAGGATGAAGCTTCTTTCCACAGCAGAGAGTCTGGGAACTGAGCAAGTTTGCTTCTGGGAACCGAGAAATGCCAGCCCCCAACATTGAAATGAAACAGATCTTCTGGTGATTCCTGAGGCATGCCAGGTTCCTCCTAAGGGGAGAGTGAAGAGAGAAGTACAAGAAAGGGAAATAAAAAGCGTTCACTCTGGGGAAGAGGAAATAGAACTATTTGCAGGTGCCATGACCTTGCATACAGAAATCCCAAAGGAAATCACTAAGAAATGACTAACTGAATTCAGCAAAGTTGAAGAGTACAAACTTATATTTAAAAGAAAAAAAGCGCATGATTTGCATGCAGGCAGATTGAGAGATTGAGTCCAATCCTTAGAATTGCATGATCCTTGAGCAGTGCAGGAGCAACCGCTGAGCACAGAGCTGAGAGTAGCCCCCAACAACCACTGGGAGTGGACTACAAACAAGAAGAAACAAAAAGATGGTGCTTTTTTTTAAAGCTTTTGGCATTTGGGACACACCCAGTAGAGCTCAGGGGCTATTCCTGGCTCTGGCTCTGTGCTCAGGAGTGACCCCTGGTTGTGCTTATGGGGCCAGGAATGGTGCCATGGATTGAACCAGCATTGGCCCAATCTCTTTGGCCAGAAGATGAATTTTTTTAGAGGAAAGTGGGGTTTGGGAACATATTAAACAGTGTTTCAAGTCTATTCCTGGCTCCGTGCTTAGGGTGCTAGGGATTTGACAGAGGATTGACTACATGCAAGACAAATGATTTATTGCTTAAGTTCCAAGAGGTGGATTTTCTTTATCCTTGGGTCACACCTGGCTCTGTGCTTACTCCTTGATCTGTACTCAGGAATCACACCTGATGGGGCTCAGGGGATCATATGTGGTACAGCAGATTGAAATCAGATTGGTTGCATGCAAGGCAAGTGCCATACCCACTGCACTATCTTTCCAACCCCTCTTAAGTTCTTGTTTTGTTTCAGTGCCACACCCAGCTAGGATCAGGACTTATTCCTGACTCTGCACTCAGGGACCACTCCTGTTGGATTCAAGGGACCATACGGGATCCTGGAGAATAAATCTGGGTTAGCTGCATGTGAGGAAAACACCCTATCTGCTGTACTATCATTCTGGCACAATGCTATATTACTACTACTAATAATAATAATAATAATTTTCTTTGGGGCCACACCTGGCAATACTCAGGGATTACTCCTAGCTCTGCACTCAGGAATCACTCCTGGCAGTGCTCAGGGGACCATGTGAAATGCCAAGAACCGAATCCGGGTAGGCTGTGTGCAAGGCAAGGGCCTTACCAGCTGTACTCTCTCTCCCAGCCTCTTCAGGAATTTTTTCCCTTAATTTTTAAAATTGAATCACCATGAGATACACAGTTACAAAGTTGTTCCTGATTGGGTTTTAGTAATACAATGTTCCAACATCCATCCCTTCACCAGTATACATTTCCCACCATCAATGTCCCCAGTTTTTTCTTTCACCAACACCTGCCTGCCATAAAAATACCTGTCATAGAGGCACTCTCTCTCTCTTTCTCTCTCTCTCTTTACTGTTGGGCACTAAGGTTTGCAATATAGGTACTGAAAGGTTATCATACATATCCCTTTACCTACTTTTTGCACTTAGTTCTTGTCCGGAGTGATCACTTCTATCATTATCATAGTGATCCTTTCTCTATCCTAATGCCCCCCTCCCCGCCCACCACCACTGTGCCAAGCTTCCAGCCTCGAACCAGTTCTCCACTTAATTCTTAAGAGCCCAGGGTGTTGTGGCTGCCATGATACCACATATGCCTTGCACATGGGAGACCACAGGGTTAGTGAGAGAACTGAACTGCTAGGGAACCCCACATCTCCATTAAAACCCTGCACCTTCTATTTTAACAGCTGACGAAATAAAACAAGGATTGGCACTGAGAAGACAGTCTTGGCCCAAGAGTCTGTCCCTTTATACAAGTTCCATGCACAAGGTGGCTTGAGAAGGTCTTTGGGAGAGAGGCAACTGTTCTTTCTAGAGTTTTCCTTCTAGATACTGCTGAGGGGGCCGGCTAGAGCAGAAACATCCCAGTCCAAGGAGGGCCCTTTGTCACAGGCAAGTATTGAGTGTGGGGGTGTTTATTGCTGTATAAGTATTGATAAACTGGAAGTGGGGTAGCCCTAGTATTGTCAACCCCACCCAGGCCACAAACGTATCTCTCTTTGCCACAGTTACCTCTCCCCCAAAGGAGTTCCTTTCAAATTAATTTCTAGAGCTCGGACCCTATCATTCCTTCTCTGCAGAAATAACCTCAACTTCTCTAACCAAGTTCTCCAACGTTTCAGATCCGGAGTTTTGCATCTTGCTCGAGAGATCTCTAACCCCATTTCATCCCGCTCCCATTCCATCCTCGCCCAGTTCTTCCGATCTGAATCCCCCAGTTCAACAACCCGCCCATCGCCTCGCTTCAGAGAACTTCAGGGTCAAGATGCACACCCCAATCATTCCGACCTGGAGTCCCCGAAATCTTTTGACCTAGAACCCTTCATCCCTCAGAATAGGTATTCTTCCATCTCCTCAGGTCTAGCGTCCCCAATTTTTCAAAGCCGGAGTCATAGCCCTCCATCTCTTGTTCCAGAGTCAGGTCCCGTCACCCTAGAGCTCGAATCCCTGCCCACAACGGCCCCTCTTTGCTGTCTTTATGTTTTTTACTCCCCGTCAGTGGGGGGCTCCGTACCATGGTCGGGCTCCGACTGAGGGCAGCCAGGCGCGCGACCGGGTTGTAACGGTCCCCGGGAGAGAGGCAGCACGCGACGCGGGCGGGGGCGGGGCCGGGGCGGGGCCGGGGGGGCAGGGCCGGGGCGGGACCTAGGTCGGGCGGGGCCTGCTCCGGGGGCGTTCAGGGGCGGGACCGGGAGCGTGCAGGGGCGGGGCAGAGGGAGGGTAGGGGCATCCCGGGGCGGGGCCTGGAGGCGTGTCGGGGCGGGATGGGGCGGGGCCTGATCCGGGGGCGTTCTGGGGCGGGGCCTGGAGGCGTGTCGGGACGGGGCTTGGGAGGGGCCTTATCCGGGGGCGGGGCCTGGCGCGCGCTGGGCGGGGTCGCGGGCCGCGGCAGGTGAGCTGCGCGGCGGGTGGGCTGGCTGGCTCGGATGGCTGAGCAGTGGGACCTGGACGAAGAGGGTCTCCGCCGCCTGGGGGCGCTGAGCCTGGAGCAGCCTGGTAGGGCCCGGCTTGCAGGGTCTGGGGCTGAAGGGCGAAAACTCAGGGGGCCGCTGAGGAGCCCTAGGAGGAGGCGTGGAAGGGCGGTCGCGGAGGCAGGGGCCGAAGGGTGGCCCTGAAGTGGACGTGCTGAAGTGTCTGTGGCAGAGATGCGGGAATGTGGGGTGGAGATGAAACGAGAAATGGGACTCCGCGGCTGGGGACTAAACTTGGGCTGAGAAGGGCGTTCGTAGGGGTGTGGGGGTGCTGTGTAGGAGGTGCCCAGGGACCACCTCGGGTCTTCTCTGACGTCCTGCCCGAGCGGGCTACTCCAAGTGGTCTGAGATGAGAAGGGATTACCCTTTGCCCAGCCCTTCTTCGTGGGGTCGTGGCCCCCTGCTTTGACCCATCACAGGTCGGAGTAATTGGGATGTGCATCTTGACCATGAAGTTCTCTGTGACCTGTGACTTCATTTAAGAGAGACTGTGGGTGTTAGGAGGCTGGTGAGAAAAGATCAGAGCTCCCTGGGTGCCTCGAACTGGACCAGGCTCCAGGGCAAGCCAGCAGGGTGACACTGCCTCCACATGTCTAGTTCTAAAGGTGGAAACATGACAATGGTATCTGCACCCACCCTCCTTTTCTCCCTTCCTTCCTTCCTCCCTGCCTTCCTCATTACTTGCGTCCCTCCTTCCTCCCTTCTTTTTTTTTATTTTGAGGGGTGCCACACTCAGCCCGTGCTCAGGCTCTTACTCCTGGCTCTGCGCACAGGAATTACTCCCAAAGGGGCTCCGGGGACCATAGGTGCTGCCAAAGATGGAACCGGGGTTGACTGTGGGCAAGGCGAGTGTCTTACCCATTGGACTATCTCCCTGCTCAAACTCTTATTTCAATTTGCACACTCCCAGGCTGGCTGTCTCCTTAGCTGATGACCCTTTGTCCCCCAGTCCCCTTTATTGGCCTGGAAAGTAGGTGCATGAGGATGCTCTCACCCTGGTCTGGTATGTTAGTACCATTGGATTTAACCCTCACAATGGGAATTAACCCCAAATTCCCATAGTCCTGCATGTTGCGACTGAACTTATTAACCCAAGACTAATTCTAAAGTGTCTCCCTTCAATATAAAGGAAATGGGGTTGGAGAAAGTACAATGGTTAGGGCGGTTACCTTGCACCCGGCCGCCCAGGGCTCTATCTCCAGCACCATAAATGGTCCATATGGTTCCCAGGGCCAAGAATGATCCCTGAACTCTGAGCTAGGAGTAAGCCCTGAGCACTGCTAGGTGTGGCTCAACACCCTCTCCCCCAACAACAAAGAAAACCCCCAAATTTTATACTATGGTGGGTTTTTTTTGTTATGATTTGTGTTTTTTTGTGTGTGTCTGACAAATTTTTCCCCAAGAGTGATGTTTTTCCTTCCTTTTTTTTAATATTGAATTACAGTGAGATTCACAATTAGAAAGTTGTTCATGATTAGGTTTCAATCATACAATGTTCCAACACCAAACCCTTCAGCTGGGTACATTTCCTGCCCACTGTCCCAAGTTTTTCCCTGGCTCCTGCATCCTGCATTCCACAGACACTTTTCTGCTCACTCTCTCTCTTCCTCTCTCTCTTTCTCTTTTTCTTTCTCTCTCTCTTTCTCTCTCTTGCTCTCTCTTTCTCTGTCTCCTTTTAGGCATTTTGGTTTGTAATACAGGTACTAAAAGGTTATCATGTATACAACTTGACCACCTTTCAACACTCAGATCTTGTCAAGAGTTACCACTATGACAATAATAATTGACAATTATTATTGTCATAGTGGTAACCTTCTTGTAGTTTTTCTTCCCTAAAAATTCTGCATCTTTGCTTTCACATAAAGCTATCTGGATTTATCTTTATTATTATTTTTTATGTAGGAGTACTGCTATTTATTCAGCCACTGATTAGCCTGATTTAACTGTGCATGAACTCCACCTTACTTTTCCCCCCATTTTTTATAATTTTATTTATTGAATCACCGTGAGAGCAGTTACAAAACTTTTGGGTTTAAGTCTTGGTCATACAATGAAACACCCATAACTTCACCAGTGTCCATTATTCACCACCAAAATCCCCAGTATACTCCCATCCCACACCCTCCCCCTACCTATGGGGCAGATGATTTCCAAATTACTCTCTCTATACTTTGATTACATTCAACATTTTGACACCACACCCACCATTATTATTTGGGATTTTACCCCAACACTCAGATCTGCCAAAAAGGCAACAGTAGACAATTTGTTTTCTATTGCTGATTATGAATAACATATGATGTCATGTGGCTGCAGTAGTGGCCGCGCAATTTTGAAATTCCAAAATTTAGCAATTAAATCTGGAGGGATTTCTTGCCAAAACCTGCTGGGTTCCAAGATTTGTTCCTGAGTCTCTGGGATCATGGCCATTAAGCAGATTAATCAGGAGCCAGAGAGGCCATTCGTCGGCAGCAACTTGGGGTCTTGTTGGGATGGGGGAAAGGGCCAACTCCACCCCCATCCCATGAGGACCCGCGTGTCTCATCACTGCGGGCCCGAACTTAACTGTCCAATGGCCTCTGGAAGATGGTGGCCACCGAGCTGCCTAGGGGGAGCAGGTGGGACAGCACCCTCTCCCCGCTGGGATGGCCCGGCAACAGTAACCTACTTTGCTGTGCAGATGCATTTCTGCCAAAAGCCTCTGACTTTCAAGATTTGTTTCTGAGTCTCTGGGATCATGGCCATTAAGTAGCTTTATCAGGAGCCAGAGAGGAAGTTCGTGGGCAGCGACTCGGAGTCTCATTGGAACGGGGAGGAAAGGCCAGCTCCACCCCCATCCTGTGAGGCCCCATGTGTCTTGTCACTGTGGGCCCAAACCTGACTGTCCAGTGGCCTTTGGAGGATGACGGCTACTGGGCCTCCAGGGGGAACAGGCCAAGGCACAAAACCTATTCCCACCTGGGGTGGCCCAGCGCCGATAGCCTACTGCAGGGACCGGACGCATTTCTGCCAAAAGCCGCTGGGTTTCAAGATTTGTTTCTGAGTCTTTGGGATCGTAGCTGTTAAGCAGTTCGATCAGGAACCAGAGAGGCCATGCCTCCAATTATATAGCTGGTCCGGAGGTGGTTTGTGGGTGTGTCTCCCACATAACTAACTTTTGGCCGTTTACTTTCTTGGTAAACTTTGCCCCAATTTTTTTGGGTCTGGCCAAAGGCACAGCAGCAATTTTGGGGTATCTGGATGTCTGAAGGCGCCATCAGGCTGCTGATGCACGCACCTCACAGGTACAGTGGGCTTATCTTTAGATATTATTCCATGTATATATACATAATATGATTGTATTTTTATGCTAAGTGCTAGTTTCCCCAGAAATCATTTATAGTGGCATTTCTGTGATATACTAAGTTCTTTATATTCATGGATCTATCTCTAGGGTCTCTGTTCTGTTATATTCTGTTTGTTTGTTTCTGAAACAACATCAGAAACAGACAAACAGGTTTGATACCCATCATACTCTCATCATTACTATCACTTAAGGATAAGTTTTGATGACTGGTGGTCAGTGCGTCCCTCTCTTTCTTTACTTCTTGCTCCTTCTTTAAAATTGCTTGTACTATCCTCTCTCCCTCCCTCTCTTCCTTCCTTCCTTCCTTCCTTCCTTCCTTCCTTCCTTCCTTCCATCATTATTTTGGAGATGTGATCATACCCAGTGGTGTTCAGAGGCTATTCTTGGCTCTAAGTTTACAAGTGATCCCAGTAGGTGCTCAGGGACCATATGTGGTACCAGGGATTCAAACTCTGAATGGCTATGTGCAAGGCTTTACCTCCACCCAAACTGTTATAAAGAAAACTTTTCTCATGTTTACTATTTGGTTAAACTGAGGTAAAGTTCACATAGATTTTGTTTGTTTGTTTTGGAGGGGCACACCTGGCAGTGCTCAGTGCCTATTTCTGCTTCTGTGCTCAGGCTCACTCCTGGCAGGCTCAGGGGACCATATGGAGTGCCGGGGATTGAACCCAGGTCGGTCATGTACAAGGCAAATGCCTATCTGCTGTACTATCACTCTGCATAGAAATGGCAGGATAAATGCTTCGGGTTTTATGACCTCATCAGGTTTGGGGGAAAAAATGAGTTGTTTTCTTGGCCTCCTCCAAATGTAACCAATG